TAAAACTTAAATTAAGACTTATTTGTAAAATTTTAATATTAGCAAATAGTAAAGAAAATAAAATCTTAGCAATGATGCCAAAAACTTGTTGTCAATTTTGCACATGTAAATATACGTATTGAGTAAGTAATATAGACAATAAGTCTAAATTATCATTCCCACAAGAATTTGTTTCTAAAGTTTCACTAAATACTAAAATTATATAACAAATTAATCTTATTTAAGCTAATTAACAATTGAAAAGCTAATCAAAGACAAAATAAAAAAAAATAATAAATTAACCAACAAAAACTAAATATGTTGAGAAAAGCAATAAATTAAAGACCGAGGATCAAAAGTTCATTCAACATTTCATCTGATAACAGCTTTTCTTGTTATTTATCTTTCCTAGGTGATTTTACTAACTTAGAATCCAAAACTATGAACAAGTCTCCATCGAGATGCTTGTACAAATACCTAACTTAATCAGTTCACTATATGTTTATGAGAATCAATTAAATTAAATTCATCAAGTAAGTGTCCTAACTTGGCTATGTATGGTAATTGATGTATATCTACCCTAGTTGTGAATCAGATAACGTAAGTGACGTCAATATATATTATTCAAATCTTAATTCAACCTAAAATCTCTTTGTAGAGTTTCAATTAGATTCACAAATCAATTAATTATTGATTGGGTAATTAAAGGCATTAAGATAAGATTTAAATAAGTACAACAATACCCATTCATGATAAATAATAGAAAAACTAGTATTCAAATTACGTGTTAAAATCCACCATAATCCTAGATAAGCAAATCAATTCATAATATCTAAATAAAATACCATCCAAAGAAATTTAGCTTTGAATTCAAAACAAGAAAATAAGAATAACACAAAAGGAACAAAATAAACTAATGTTGAAGCTTGGTTGATTGTGAATCTTTCTTAATTGCTATTGACTTCTTACTTGATCCTAAGCTCTAATTCTCCATAAAAGTTGTTGCTGTCTCTCCTCTGAATGCTCTCAAGAAGTCCCTTAAATATGTGCAAGATGCCTTACTTTCCAATTTCCCATCAGAATTTTTTAATTTTGGAAACCAAGCGATGTGACTAGCTTGTGTAACATCACAGTGCTCTTTTTTTGGTGTTACAGCACCATGCTCATGGCTTTTAGTATGATGCACCCATCTAGCTCAGTGCCACAGCCTTGATTAACTCGGTGCTGCTACCTTAATCACCATGCTACCTTGTCTGTAGTCTGCATCTATCTATCATCTTCAGACGTGATTTTCACCTTGATCTGGTCTGAACTAGGTGAAGGGGTAAACATGAAAGTTGTAGCCCATTCTCTTAGCTTTCCAATGAATCAAAAATAACGTAATTGGACCTCTAAAGCTCAAGCTGTCTTTAAATTATTATAGCATATGCTAGTGATACCTTCACCACCTTTGTGCTATCATAACTCAATTTCATCTTGCTTATCACATATCCTACACATAACCATGAAAGAAATTGACATCAATTTTTCTTAAAGTAAATTAAAACAAAATAAAGTAAAATTAAACTAAAACAACTTAATTTAATGATTCAATATGTAATCTAACTTATATTAGAAAAATACATATAATGCTAAAATTTGAACCTAAAACTCAAAGGTCTAGCTACTAGAGCTCCCAAAATATAGTAAAAATAACTCTATATAGCAATGTTATCACAACTCAACTTCAAAGCTAGAAACAATATCTAATAACCTATAATAATCTTCAATCAATCAATTATCATAATTATCCAAAAACAAAGCAAAAGGTTGAAGAGAATAGCAAAAATAAATAATAGAAAAAAAAAAGTTAAAATAGAAATTTTTGAAAGCCCCCCAAGAAAAATTACGCGCCTTGTGGGAGCAAAGAAAATAATTTTATAAGAAAAAAAAAAGAAAAACCAATAGCAAGAGATATACGTAAAAAAACATAACCGGTGATCTATATCACATTCACAGAGAAAAAAAAATTAAAAATAAAAAATGAACTAACTAAAAAAACAAAGAATGCTACTATTCGAACATATGAAAGACAAAATAAAACCATGAAGAATGTAAGGAAAATAAGAAAAATAATAAAATAAACAATATATAAATTAGTAACAAAAAAGAAGAAGAAAAACATGATAAGAAATACATCTTGAACAAAAGTAGCAACTTGAACAAAGGAAAACAAAAAGAAGTTAGAAATCATAAATGAAATACATGAGAAAACAAAAAAACAAACTACTTGAATAAATGAGTGACAAAATAAAAACATAAATAATGCAGCAAAAATAAAGAAAAAACCAAAAAAAATCATCAGTGGAGGAAAAGAAAAAGAAAGACTAGAAGAGAACGTAGAAAGAAAGATAAGAGAGAATAAAAACCCAAGAATGGAAGAAAACTCTAAAAGATTATGGCTAAAAGTCAAAAATGCTATTGAAACTTTTATGAAAATCCAAGATTGCCCTTCCATTCCTTCACCGCTAAGGAAACAAAAAACTGCAAGCATTCTCACCAAATCAATCAATACCCAAGATAGGTGGCACTCAATTTGGTGCCTTAGTTTAAAACCTAACCAACCCAATTAAAGGCCAAGCGTCAACCAATTAAATACGATACATGGCAATCAATTAGACCCATCCAGAGACAAATTTAATATATTAGTATAGATGTTATAGATTCTTTGTAGACACCTTGATACAAATCATACAAATCATACTCTTCCAACTTTGTATTCACTTAGCTTCTAGAGATACATTTACTTTAATTTTGTAAGAAAGAAAAAACTTATGCCTTAGCTTTCAAAAGGTAATATTTAAAAGTTGTACTTGATTTTTGAAAGGCCTAGAGCTTGTACCTTAGCCTTCAAAAAGTAATATTTAAAGTTTGTGCCTGAATCTTGAAAAGGTAATAGTAATGCTAGATCCTTGCAAAGATAATGGTTACGCTTAAACCTTCAAAACGCAGTGCATTGAATTTATTCAATAATGGATTAAAGTTCTTATTTTGCTAAAGAAGAGGATGTAAGCACTAAGGAAGGGTTGAACCTTTATAAATTCTTTGTACATTTTCTCTTTACTTTTCACTAGTATTCTTGTGCATTTCATTTTACTTTGAATAGTTTTGAAAATTTGTTCATAACTTGTTTATTCTTTAATTTACTCTTCAAATTAGTTTTGATACACTGTGATAGAAAAACAAATTTGTGAATATTGTTCTTAACTTGCCTTCATTGGAAATTTGATCTTAAGGAAAAAAAATTTATAAATCGAATTCACCTCCCTCCATTTTGGATATTTTTGCATTATTATTGAGCTAATATTTCTAATATAATAATTGTTAGAAAATCAGATACCAAGTCCCACATGACATGATTTTAATTTCTTTTTAGTGTATTTTAACAAATAAATAAATAACGACATAAATATTTTTAATTATTTATTTATTTTTTGATTTTATTTAATTTCTTAGATAATTACCTTAAGTGAGTCACTATTACTCAATTCGTGATATCAAATTCAACAATTCATATGTATAATAGTATATATTAGTTTTCGTCAAAATAATTTGTTTTGAATTAAATTGTTTTGAATCAAATCAAATGAAGAACATATTATACTAACTAAGGTAATAACACATAGAAAGAAAGTATGCACTATTTTCACTTTTTGCCATTTTTTTATATTCTTTCATTATATTTTCTCTATTTGAAATTAAAGACTCGCTTTTCAAATGACATAAATTTTAGGAATAAAATAGTTTATTTTAATAAATTTTACTTTTCAATGGTATAAAAATTTGAGTTAACCTAAATAGTATAAAAATGTATATTACTTAAATAGTCTTTAAACTATTTAAAAAAAATTTAAATAAATTTTTATTTTTTATTGCATCTAATTAAACCTTTATACTTTTATTTTAAATTGAATAAGCTCTTATAACTAATGGTTGATTAATTGTTATTAGTTAAAATATTACTTTTCATTTTATATTATATGGTGCTAACATAACATAATGATATGATCACGTGGTGCTTTTCATTTTTCATGTTAGAATCATATGATATAAAAAAATAAGGTAAAATATCCTTACATCTATAAGTTTTGATTAAAATAATATGAAAGTCCATTAAATTTCAAAATGAACCCTCAGCGTAAAAAAAATATTTTTTACTGGACACTTAAATTTAGCGATTAATCAACTATTAGTGTTTTCATAAACTTGATGACGTGTTAAGGCTAAAAAGATAAATTTATCTTCAAATAATTTTTAAAATTACAATTACATAATTTTATTTATTTATTATTAATTAAAAAAACCTTCCCTAGAGGAGCACCAATCGAGACTCCCAAGGAAGCACGATCAGGCTCCCCACAAGAGCACCAGAATTGGTGTTTCCCAAGAGAAACTAGATTAGGGCTCCCTGAGAAAGCATTGAGCTCCCTTCGAGGGCTCTTTAAGGGAGCACTTGGTGCATCTATCCTTTAGACAACATCGATTAGTGCTCCCCTCTCTTGGTTGCACCAAGCAATGCTCCTCTTTATTGGAGAGTTAGGTGCTTCTTTTTTTTAAAATTTTATTTAAAAATATAATAATAATTTTTAAAATTAATAAAAAAAGTATTTTAGTCTTTTTCTAATATTTGTTAACTATGTTTATATTTTTGGGATGAAATGTCAATTTTGAAAATTAATGAACTTATTTAAAAGTTTGACAAAAACTTAGGAAGTGAAGGTATTTTACTTGAAAAAATAAAAGATATTTTAACTAATACAGTTAATTAATAATTAGTTATAAAAGTTTATTTGACCTAAATAAGAGTATAAGAATTTTATTGAAGGAAAATAAAAGTTTATTTAAATAGTTTATGAAGTTTAAAATATTATAGGAAATGAAATAAAATCATGGATAAAAAATCTTTTATGTTAAAATATTAATGAGATGGACATGAATAGAGGATAAAAACAATAAAATAAGATAGAAGATTTGTTTTGCTTGCAGTACACATGGTAAGCGCTTGCATCAAAAACCGAGAAAACAGAAAGACATGGGACAGGGACACAAGTCGGCAGGCTAACAAGTACAGCAGAGCAGATAAAAACCCAGAAGGATATGGCTAGTTGCGTAGTGACTCCATCCCCTATTCAAATTCAAACTCGCAGACATAGAACTGGCATCATACGACGCTTCTCTGTACCGGCTCTCAAGGTTCCTCTGCCGCCTGCAATTCGTCCCCGTCTTACTCCAAGAATCTTTTGTAACTACGATGATCCCAATAGCAACAGCCAGAAACAGCCCTCTTCAGTTCAGCTCTATGGTGAAATCGAGAGGTATAATCATATCCTTTCTCATCTTCCAGTCCTGCAAATACTTTACGGATTCGTAATTTCACCTATCTGGTGGTCTCCAATGTGTTTTCAGATTACTTACGGAGACTGTAAGGCAATCGCAAGGTGCTTGGGGTGGTTCAAGTGATTGGAGCCAAGTCGAGGTTTTATCTGATTTAACATTGATAATATTTCTTTTCTTTATCCCACCTTGTCAAATTTTCTGCATTTTTAGATGATAAATTGCATGATTCTTCTTATATGTAGACTAATTATGTATTTTAATTATTTTTCCTTTTTAAATCAATTATGATCATGTTTTTAATCATTTTGTTTCTTTAAGAAGTAAAAAGTAAAAAGCAAGGGAAAAAAAATACTAACCAAACAGGGCCTTAATTAATGAGATTGATTTGATACATCCAGGGAGCATGGGTTCTCCAACCAAAATACTCAAAACCTAAGTCAGTTGTTCATTTTGTTGGTGGTATATTTGTTGGAGCCGCTCCTCAGCTTACCTATCGTTGGTTTTTGGAGCGCCTTTCAGAAAAGTAAGTATCTTTCATTGATACTCAAGTCACCTGCTTACCAAATATTTGATTGAGGGGCAGCTGAGTTTGATACAGTTGGTGTTGTAGTAGTATAGCAGATTTATTTTTCTTGTAAGAAAATTTATTTTAATGTCTTTATGTGTATTGCATGTCATCATTTATTGTTCAATCTTTTTAGACGCATTCTTGTTAGCACCCAGTCTATTGTTGATTCTATCTTTGATCAGCCTCATGACCTAAACTGCAATTTAATCTGACTGTAGCTGGACTCTTATAGGGTTATCTTACTGAGAAGTAAGAGAATTCACTATTTAACCTTTTTTGTAATCAAGGGGTGTTTTGGTGATTGCGACACCATATGCTAGTGGGTTTGATCACTTCTTCATCGCAGATGAAGTCCAGTTTAAATTTGACAGGTGTTTACGGTTCCTACAAGAAACAGTGAGTTCTTAATTTATAATCTTCAAATAAATATTCTTCCAATATAAATCCCTCCCCAACCTTCTTCCAGTTTATTTGCTAAAGTAACTAAAAAGGTGACTTAAAGCTTCATTATACAGGTGCATGATCTTCCCACTTTTGGTATTGGCCATTCTTTGGGTTCTGTCATCCATCTTTTGATTGGTATTACAAGATCTTCTTGTATGATATTGATATTCATCCTAAGGAGGTAGCTGGTTTGTTTGCAGCCATTTATTTGATTAATGAATCATTGTACAGGATCAAGATATGCCGTGCAAAGAAGTGGGAATGTATTAATGGCATTCAACAACAAGGTAGTTTAACTTTTCATCATGCATGTTTAAAGTTAGTGAAAAATAAGGCAACTTATCTGTGATTGTGGAAGGATCTACAGAGTCCTAAATCCAATTTTCCATTAAAAAGATTACACCTTACAACTTGCAGATTGAGGTGATTTTGGGGGAAAAGTTACAATCCCACAAAATATGAGTAAAAGATTTGTCTTTCCCTTACCTCACTGCCTCTACATTCTCTGCTGAAGCAAATAATTGTTGATAATATTATCTTCACTTTGCATATTTCTTGTTTCCATTAAGGCAGTAACTGATCAGCCTACCTACGTTGATTGTTTTTTATTCAGCATTTGACAGCAAATGTATCATCTTGAGATGGCTACCATATAACTCCTTTTTTGAATTGAAATGAGATTGAAAAAATTTATTTTATAATCTTGCAGGAAGCAAGCTTAGCCATCCCATTGTTTTCACCTGTTCTTGTGCCCGTGGCCCAAAGCATTGGACCCATTCTATCACAAATTGTGTCGTCACCGACAATACGCATGGGGGTAAAATCATGAGTCACTTGATATCTTTTTCCTGTATTGCATGCAAATAGCGTTTTTTAAAACAACTTACACCTGCTTTTTTTTAATCATAGTTTAATCTTTAATCACTACTTTTAAACTTTTGACTGATTTATATATTTGGTATGATTAGGAAAATTTCAGACATTGTTGAGTTCATGCAATCTGTTGACTACATGTAACTTTAGGCTAATATTATTTAATTTTGAGTCAGCCCTATCCTTCCTTGGAATACTTAATTTCTTATCATTATAGCCTTATTCTTTGGTATCACTCCTTTCCTGAGTTTTGATGCAATAAAGGTGACTTCAATACTTGTCAAACTCAAATTTATGGTAATTCTATTTCTAAAGGATAGCTGGTGTTAGGTAATATAACTCTGAGCTTTGGTCAAACATGATATCTTAGGTTTTATTAATTCTTCTTCTGCCTTGAGAACTCAGTTCCTCTACTTGCACTTTAGGCAATTACCAATTTCTCTTTTGGCCTTCAAGTCTCACATGGGGCTTGTGAAGTAGAGTATTACATTAATACCCTTCTTGCAGTTGGGCTTTTTGTAACCACAAATGAATTGTCAAAAGGAATTATTTAGTTCAAATACATATTTGTATTTGAAAGTACAGGATAATATGAAGATTTTTTAATTGACTGCATCATTTTCCAAGTATGATCAACATTCAGTCTAGTACTTGAAGAAGAAAATTACGCAATGTTGTATCTTAGCTGTCACCTTTTTTTGTCCATATGCCATTTAATCAACTCCATTAATAAATACTGAAGTGGCCTTCAAAAGTCATATAATGTCATACATGGACAATGCAGAGAAAAAAAAAATCCAAGTCGACCTAAAAATTCCATGTCATCCTGGCAATTTGCCATTTTTAGTGCCATCCAGGTGGCATTAACATGGATCATGTGATTGGTACCTTGTTTTTTTCATTTTTTAAACTTTCTTGTATTTTTCTTCTTTTACTTTGTTTTTTGTTTTTCTTCTTTCTTTCTCCAGCAAAGGTTTCACACTCTTTCTCCTCTCACAATCTTTGGTTCTCTCTTGAAACACCATTTGCTGCGAATCATCCTAGTCACATTCTACTAGCTCTTCTCTCCTTTTCCTTTTCTTTTCAACTTTCTTCTTTTTCTTCTTCTTCTCTCTCTCTCTCTCTCGCTCGCTCTCTCTTGCTCTCTTTCTCTAGCTCTAAACACATATTTTAATTCTCTCCCTAAATCCACCTCCAAGATTCACCCTCAATTGCAGTCGTATTAGCCTTAAAACAACAAATTTCTGAAAGAAAGCACAAAACTAGCATACATTCAATTTGTAACTTGGTGACCAAATATGCATAGCCTCCTAGGAATTGAGAACAATGTGCTCAAGAAATGAAAAGCCCAAATCTAGAGTTCAACAATGGATTTTTACATGTTTGACTTGGTCTTGTGATTTTGCCATTGTCTCATTGAGAGAGCCAATGGTAGCGCCAAGAGAATTGATCTAATTAATAATGATGGTGGTGAGGATGCCATCATAGAAGTCCTCATGTCTCAATGGTCATGTTAACCACATTTGATTTTTGACCATGAGAAGGCTTTTTTCACCTTTAGAGAGTTCATCACCATTGGATTTGGCTCAGGAGATGTCTTATCCTTGGTCAAAGTGGAGCTAAGGCTGGGACAAATATCTCTTTGATTTTGGATAAAACAATGAAGAGTTGTCTCGAGCAAGATTTTGGAGGACATGGGTGGGAAAGAACGGATCCACCATGAATGGTTTGCAATGTGAGAGAAAAGAGCATGAGGTAGAGAGAAAATTGGAAAAAGAATGAAGTTAAAGCAATGGAAAAAAATGAAAAATAAAAATAGAAAGCAGAATTTGTATAGTATCATAACCAATCATGTAATGCCACATTGTAGCTACATGTCATCATTTTGGCACTAAAGGTTTCATATTGGATGGCTTAAATGTTTAGGCTTAGTTGGCATGCGCTTTTATATATTTACGCATGCTGTCAGAACATAGGCTTAAAGGTTATCACTTTTATTTCATATGTCAATTAGATAGTTATACAACAAACAAAGTGATAGTTATGGTATCACATTAAATATATTTTTAGGTCAGGTGCCAAATTGAATAGTGGAGTATACTTAAGGTACCATTTACATGATTTACTCTACTTAAAAGTGCTACGATAATGTGGAGAGTTTCTAATTGCCTACTTGCCATTGTCTTTCCAATTTGTAAGTATGATAATTTGGAGCGTGGAGTGCTTTTCAATTGGTTTTTATTGTATCTGACCTAAAAGGATCCTATTGAGTAAGATTTGTTCTTATGCTTCTTTTATCACTCCTCAATCATATCTTCCATCTTGAGGCAATACTTCATCATTTTTCTCAAACTTGAGTTTATTCGTTATTAGTAGTTCCAGAATGAATGACTCATCCCATTTTACACAAACTACTTGCAGGCTGAGATGACACTGAAGCAAATAGAGAACTTTAGCCCTCCCCTTATGAAGCAGGTTCTTCCTCTAGTTGAACAACTTCCACCCTTGTACATGGACTTAGTCAAGGGAAGAGAAGATTTCAGTCCAAAACCAGAAGAAACTCGACGACTTGTATGTAAAATCTCTTTAACTTATTTGTTCCTAGGTTGTTGCATTTCGCATTCTTGTTTATCAGATCTTACACTCTAAAGACAAAATGTGCTTGCCTAGTTGGTTGGTGCTTGGACCACATGGTAGATAGTTTGAGCCATGGCTAGGCTCTGGCATCTGGCTGATTGATGTGTCCCATCAGTGAGGTGGTTTGTGGAGAGCCTCTTTTTTGTATACCAATATTCTGATAAAAATAATAGTAACTATTTAAACTGGCTCAAGTTTCGCTAGAAGACCGTGGGGAAAACAATTGACATTTATGCATTGCTGGGAGGAGGGAAAAATGCTTAAGCATCAGCATCCCTGTTTGAAAACAGTATCTTGCTCATTTTGTTACTCCACTCCATTATTCCTCAAGTTTAAGGGCAACGTAGGGAAGAGAAGCAGAGTTTATAAGGTGCTAATTCTGGCACTTGGTGCCTTTGCAGAGGGTTACTGAGTTTTACATATATGTAAATGTAGAACACTGGAGAGATACTAATTTTCACACTTTTCAAGTGGAAGATGTCAAAAATTTTAAGATGGTTTATTTATTAATCGGTTTGAAAAACTGTACACTGCAATTTCTTCGGAGATAATCTTAGACTAACTTTTATGCTTCTGTTTTTTATTCTTCACATATTCAGATAAAGTCATACTATGGCATTTCGAGGAACCTTCTAATAAAGTTCAAAGATGACTCAATTGATGAAACTCCGAAGTTGGCTCAGGTGCTAAGTTCGGACTCAGCCATCAGCTCAATGCTGGACATGTCAATTCGATTGTTGCCAGGAGATCATGGGCTTCCTCTACAACAAGTATGCTTGTAACAAATTACTTTAGAATGCTTTTGCATGAATGAATGAGATACTTTTGATCATAGTCTGGGTATGATTGAGACTAATGTGCTTTTGATGAAGAGTGATTCCAGCAAGCAGTCTAAGCTTGTAACTCCTTTTCGTCCTGGAAATGGCAAGCTGTTTTTCTAATACATCTATGTTGCAGGCCCTTCCAGATGTTCCACCCGCAATGGCAGATGCAGTAAATCGTGGAAGTGAGTTTTTGGCAAATCTGACAGTGGGAACACCGTGGGAGACTGTTGCCAAAGAAGTCAGCAATACATTAGGTACAGACTCGACAGTTCTTCGTGCAGAAATTTCTAAGGACATAGACCTTCTTGTGGACGTGATCACTTCCTGGATGGCTTCAAATTCAGGTCCAAAACTTTTAAGGGGTTGATGTGTAGGATTGAACTCCAACTAAAATCAACAAGGAGCTGTTTTGTTCATACCGGTGAGGAGCTTATAGCAATCTAGAATGTTAGAAGATTGTCTGTTTAACATCTATATAACATGCCAAGGATGTCCGGTTAGGGGCATGACTTGAACATGAACTTCCACCAATTTGTAACCAGCAATTATATATATAATTATCAATATATACACACACAAACACTAGCAAAGATCCCTCCCTCCATCTCTCATCTTTACTTGTTCCGTTTTTTTCTTTTATCTAATTTTCATCCTATTTTGTTTCCTTCCTGATTTTTCAGATTTTCCTGTGAGAAGTTGAGAGAAAACTGAGAAACAACAAACTAATGCCGGAATCTGCATGTGTGTTCTCATTAAGAAAGAAATGAATGCAATTAAGAGTATTTATTCTCTATCTAACAAAAAAACAAGGGACTTCAGGTTAGTTAACTATCAATTAATCAGCATTTACAGTTTCAGTAAAAGAATAAAGTAACTGATTAAAACAAATAGACACTTGTCTTAGAGCTTTTCAAATTATATGGAAAGCATGTGATCCGCTCTTTACTATTTTGTTATGTTCCTAACGACATTCCTTAACAGATTTATACCTTGATCTTCATTCATCCCAACTTCTTTTTAATTTGCATTCACTTATCCTGACAGATAATCCCCTTCATTATGAACGTGCATCGTGTTAACTTGTAGAACTGCTTTGGCTGTGAAGCCTTAGTGAACAAATCTACTATCTACTCCTCTAAAGAAACGTAAGCAGAGTCAATAACTTTGTAAGCACCTTCACTCTTATAAAGTGGCAGTCTATCTTAATAAGCTTTGTTCGTCCATGGAAAATTGGATTTTTACAGATGTGAATTACTGACTAATTGTCACAGTAAAGTGTCACTCTTGAGCTTTGATTCAAACTAAGATCTGCCAAAAAAAATTTTTAACCAAATCACTTCACAGCATGTTGATGCCATTAACCATTATTCAGTTTCAGTAGAGCTTCGAGCCACTGTTGATTGCTTCTTGGATTTCTAGCTAACTAAGGAATTATCAAGAAAAATACTATAACCTGTCATTGTTTTTTGCGTATCAAGGCATCCAACCCAACCACCGCCATAATAAGTAGAAATTTTAAGTCTGAATCTGCCTTCATTCGTATGCCTTAACCTGTGATGATTTTAGATACTTCAATACTTTATGTGCTACAAGCACATGCTCTTCAGTTGGCTAATCCATGAATTGAGACAATACTTGGACAGCATAGGATATGTCTGGTTTTGTAAGGGTTAAGTGCAACAACTTGCCAATCAGTTGCCTGTATCTTATTGAATCAACCTCTTTATTTGCACCATCTCAATTTATGATTGTGGTCTATTAGAGTTGTCCCTGGTTTTGAACCAAGTAAACCAAACTCTATTAAGAGATCTAAGGCTTATTTTCTCTAACACAGTGAAATACCTTTATGTGATCTTGCAATCTCAAGCCCCAAAAACTATTTTACTACTCCAAGAAATATGCCATTAACACAGTGACAACTTCGATAAGCCTTAACATCACATAATGCTTGAACTGAAGTACTAAATCAAAATATCATCGACATAAACTAGTAGAGAAACAAACTCACCATTCTCAGGGATGAAAGTGAACAAAGAATAATCTGATAGCGACCGCTTGAAACCAAAATGCAGAAGTGAAACAGTAAATTTTGAATTCCACTACCTTGAACCTTGTTTAAGTTCGTACAAGGACTTATATAACTTGCACACACACTAAGTGCCAGGTCGATATTCCCCCTTGATAGAAAAACTTTGAGGCAGCTTCATATACACATTTGCTTCCAAATCTCCATTAAGAAAGGCATTATTTTTGTCTAGTTGGGACAAATGCCAAACTTGTGTTGCTGCCAAAGCCATAAAAACCCTCACTATTAACTATTTAGCAACAGGACTAAAAGTCTTCTAGTAATCAAAGCCTCACCTTTGGCTATAATCCTTAGCAACCAACGGGCCTTGTACCTTTCCACACTCCCATCATCTTTCATCTCAACTTTAGAAACCCGTTTAGAGCCAATGGCATGAGAATTAAGAGGCAAAGTACTATGGACCATGTACCATTTATCTTCAAGAGCTTTCAATTCAACAGTCATGGCCTCTCTCCAATGAAGATTAGTAACAGCTTGATGGTAAGAAGTAAGCTTAAAATTTGAGATAGAGTTGCAATGAATACCTAATGTGCAGGGAATAATTGACCGTTGGACAAATAGTCAATAATGGGATATAGAGTGGCATTACTAACATGAGTAAGTATATCAACTTAGTAAGCCTCTAAATAGTTTGGACCATGCTTAATTCTAGTACTTTTTCCTAATATTAGAGGTATTATCAACATAAGGATATGAATCAACAGAACTAGAACTTGAAATTGAGTGATGAGTAGGCGAAGATGATTAAGAATTTGATGAATTATGCAAAGAAAGTGTATTTTCTGATGTGGAAGCAACATCATTGGATGAAAAGGGTTGAGAAATAGGTGACTCAGTGGATAATGAAGTGGGAGAATTAGAATTAATGTTATTGAAGTAAAAAAGAAAAGCATGCATACGAATTGTTTGAGGAAATGTCTTTCGTGCATCAATGTCAAAAACTTTAAAACTTTTGGTACCATTAAGATAACCAAGAAATACACACTTACTAGTAGGGGCGGTGTTCAAAGGCTTAAAGCAAAATATTCAAATGAGGTATTTTTTATTGAAATTAAAAAAATCATTGAAAATTTATCAAATGAGGCCTAACTTTCTAAGAGTATTTTGTTGTTTATTTAAGAGACATTCATTAATAATTTTTGATTCATTATTTTCATTACTTGTAAAAAATTATCAAGTGCTCATGTTTTAAATTGTATTAAACTTTCAATTCTTTGTTTTTTAAGCTTTGAATAACTAGATTCATATTTTGATTTGACATATTCAAATATTTATTATGAGGTACAAAAATATTTAGCTATTATAATTATCTTATATTTTTTAAATGACTAATATAAATCAACAATCAAAATTTTTAATTCAAATAAATCAAATATCACATAATATAAAGGTAATATAACAATATAATATAAACTCTAAATTAAAATAAAAATGTTTGTAAAGATTAGAACAATAACACTTGATTGTTGAATACTTATTGCAAATCGCAAATAAGGCTTTCGATTTTATGAAGATAATAACATAACAGACTTCTTGCATATTCTTTGGAAGAAAATTGAAGTTAAAGGAAAAAAGAACAAATGAGAACAGAAGAATTCAATAGTAGATATTATACATTGAAAAAAAATAGTTTTATATATAGAAAAAAATAGCAATTGGAAATTATTAAATATATTGATTGGAAATAAGAGAAATAAGTGAGAAAAAAATTATTGTTGGAGATAATTAAATACATATGACCGTTAATTGATTGAAAATAAGAGAATATAGTTAAGAATTAATAGCGTTCTAGAAATTAGAAAGTGATAGAAAATTGAGATTTATTAGACACATAATTAGTGAAGTGAGAGAATAAGTAATTTATTAACTATTTTTTACTTTTATATTTTTTAATTTTTATATATTTTAATATAATTAATTATATTATAATTTTTATAAAATTATAAAACTTTTTTAAATTCGGAGCTTCCCCAAATCAAGGGCCTAAAGCCCTTGCTTGGGTGACTTCACATAAGGCCGACATTGCTTACTAGCTTTTTTGTCAAACTTTGTTCTGTGCTGTGTCAATATAAAAACATAGCATAAACTATCAAAGACTCTGAAATAGTCATAACAAGGTTGTTTATGATAGAGACACTCAAATGGAGACATTTTGTGGAATCTATGAAGGTATCCTATTAATAATTTGAGCAACAGTAAGTACTGCATCCCCCCAAAACTGAATACTTAAGCTAGATTGATATAACAAGGCTCTTGCCACAATAAGAAGATGTTGATGTTTTTGTTCAACAACACCATTCTTTTGTGGTGTATCAGCACAATACAAGTGATGAATATTACTTGTTGAGTTAAGCTGGAGCTATTTACCATTATTTGATCACATACACTTAATGGTAGTTGAAAACTAGTTTTTAACAAAGTTATAAAAGTATGGTACAATGACAGAAACTTCAGCTTTGTTTTTCATCAAAAAAATCTAGGTAAATCTTGTAAAATTATCAACTAATGTGAGAAAATAGTGATGACCACTACTAGCAAGGATTCTATAAGGCCCCCAAATATCAGCATGCCAAATTTCAAATGCAAAAATTGGGCCTTGAACATGAACAAG